TTGGCCTAAAACTCCAAATTTCTTCGCGAGCTGCAGGTCACTCACGTTGTTTTCTAACGGCCGAGCCAAATAACGAGAGCTGAACTCTCACGTCAAAAATAACGTGCTACTTAACGAGAGAGCTTGGAAGCTCGGGGCCCTACGCTATGCTTTTTTACTTTTCTGTAGCTAGCTCATCATGCATGTTATTAGAACTGATGGGAATGTTTTTTTCCATTGATTGGCTACATCAAACTTTCTCTTTGCATTCGTGGGTAATACGACACCGACTACCACCTTGATGACCTAGGCAAAAAAAGCATAGGGATGTTGCAAATTTTTCATTTCTCCTATTTTTCAAGACATAACCTGAGATTCGAACCCGCACTATCGCTCTGCATGCATTCCCCCAATACACTTCGCATACATAGTCATTCTTCCAAGTTGCTTCACGTTATGATCCTGCATTTGAAAGTCCTATTTGAATATTAAATTATGGCCAGCTGTTTGTGACCAGCTGTCTTTGATGGTACGGTACGGTACAGGTACTGGATAGCGCCAGGTATGCCGATGGCACAAACAAACAAACACGGAATTAAAACTGTGTGGACCCTGGCTAGCGCCAGACGTTACTGAAGTAACGTCTTTTGCATAGCTACGGGAATAACCTCTCTATTAATGTCTCTGTGTGTTTGTTGGCGCTCTGTCACCGGCTCCAGACAAACCTGTCAAAACCGTAGGGTCGGCAACGAAGGCACCGCTGATACCGTTCATTATCAACGATGGGGACACGGGCAGCGTTGCCGGGGACGACGGTTTCGCCGCCACTGCCACTGCCACCACTGCCACCGCCGCCCCGAGAGCTGAACGGCCCCCGCCACGTGCGCCGTCCGTAGCGTGGTCGGAAGCATCAGGTCGGTCTAGGTTATTTTTATTTTATCTACTGTCTGCAGTCTCTGCACTTCATGGCACATAATGGAAGTAGTACAAGGAGGAAAGGATGAAATCAACCACTGACCGAGAGCAAAGATGCAAATTAAAGAGAAAAAAAAAGAAAGGAAGGAAAACAAAAACCATTCCCTCAAACTTGTGAAAAGAATGGAAGAAAGTATTGTTTAATGAAGTAATCCAATGTCACTTCAGCTCGTCCTCCTTATTGCATTAGAATTGCTGTCTCCTCACCGAATATTTAAATCATTTTTAAAGAGCATTACTTGTTCTGTGCATGCTCCTGCACCACTTTGACCCTAGTGACCGACATTCAAGCCGATGCGCTTATAAGCGAGATTTTGCCATATTTGAAATTTCGTGAAGGTCGATTAGTCTCACATCATAGGCGCATGCGCTTGTAATAGAGATGTGGGTGCGCACATAGTTGTATTCATCGCTTTGGTGATCATTGCTGGGTAACTGGTTCAGCGCCAGAAAATGGCCATGAAAGGTCATGTGGATATTGCTGACGTTGGACCATAGTTTGGTGTAGGGCCTTCGGCTTGATGCTTTATGCACTGTAGAATAGAAAGCAGTGGAATTTGAGGTGCGCCTGTTAGCCCACAACCTAACTGGAGGTAATTATGATCATAGGCCGAAAAGAAGCTTGTTTCAGATCGGAAACCCCTAAAAAAACCAGACTCGGTCGGCCAGAATAATATGTTTTTGGACAATGTTTTGGGGCAAGGTCTTATCAATGATCCCAACGCTTCAAATAATCACTGTTGTTTTTTGATGGACAAAAAGGCAATGCAGAGGTACATGTTGGCCAGTCTGCAAAAAAATCCTAGGTTCGCGCTACAAGCCGGGTTTCCACATCCGTAGGACCACCACCACCCTCTTGGATCAAGGCAGGCAGATGCAGCTCCAAAAGAGGTGGCAGGTGAGTAGATCAGACCCACCAGCAAAGTAGTCAATGGCCGAAAATCCCATTCGCTGCATCCATGCTTCCCTCGACCGGCAAGTAGGGTTGCAATGGGTAGGGGTTTGGTCGGGTAACGAGTTCGTGTATTTCTATCCAGGTAGCATGTGTACCCTATCGGGTATTTCTGGACATAGTTTGTACACTGAGTGCTCCCTTGTGTTACATATATAGTTCACAGTGAGCACGTAGCCGTGCTGTTTACATGCACTGTTGCGAAAACACCGTGCTACAGCTACCCGATCGGGTTCTCAGGAGCAACTTGAACTGCTACCGGAATACCCGATCAAATCAAGGGTAGCACGGGTACACTATAGTCTGTTTCAAAAAGATTTACAATCAGGTTTGGGTCTTAAAAAGTATGAAGATAAGGGAAATTTGGACAACAAAGTACATAGAATGGCTTGTTAGGACACGGCAAATTGTTCTGTGAAGGTTTCGGAACAATTGGACCAACCGTTAAGGAGTTAGAATTTCGGCCAGGTTTCCGGCCTTTTCCCATAGTTTACAATTTGCCCAGGAAGCCAGTATCGATTTTTTTTATCAAAACCCACGATTTATCCCTTCCTTTTTGGCCTTGTGGTTATGAATGCTGTCTGCTGACCATGAAGTTGTGAGTTCAAATCCCAAACTATCCTCAAGTCAAACTTTTTTTCTTCATTGTTTTGGTGATCAAGCTGGTACAAGACAAAGAAGATGGCTGCACCAAACGAATTGTTGTTGGAGCTCGCGCTTCCTGCCGAACTGACTGACACTTGACTGGCTCACGCCATGTGAACACACCCACAACATTGCAATGGTGTGAGTGAATTATCGGGAAGTCATCGCGCTGTAGCTTTTTGAGATTTATTTTAGTATTTCAAGATCGCCAATTTATTTGAATTTAGCAGTCAACGCCGTCTTCTATCAGCGTTCACAAGCGTCTGCTTTTCTCAAAATGTCGTCGAAGTCATACGGATAACTTTGCCAAGTCATGGCCTTGGGAATGAGTCGGACTGTCCGTGTCGATGTCGTTTTCATCACACGGTGAGTAAATTGCATCGCAGCTCAAAGAAACTATTTTGGTCACAAAACGAATTGGGACCCCGGCATGCCGCTCGTCAAAATTTACAACACTTTCGTTTCGACATGTCCTCTCTGACTCCATTATCGATACGAGAAAGAACTCGTTTGTTATAAACCAGACGGTACATGACTGTATCAACGCGAGTGAGTACGAGTAGTCATTTTCCTGCTTTCGCGCGGAATATTTCTTCGAGTTCACAGTGAGTTTTTCCAGGCAGCGATCGAGTGCTCATGCGCTAAGACGCCAAACTCCGTGGGCGATCGCCAGGATTGCAAATCTTTTTGAAACGGACTGTAATACTCGGTGACACCCCTGCCCGCAAGCAAGTTTTTTATTTGTTGTGGCCTAACAGCATGTAGTGCAAGCCACATTATGTGTATGCGGCTGTCTCACACAACCCAACCTAATCCTATTGTGTTGGGAACTCGTGGCCTGACACACGGGTGACATGGATGCAGTGAATTGGGTTTTCGGCTGTCTTTGACCACTTTGTGGTGGGTCAGATCTACTCACCTCCCACCGCTAAGGAGCTGCATCTGGGGCCTTGATCCCAGAGCGTGGTGGCGGTCCTGAGGATGCGGAAAACTCGGAAGCCGAGTCTCACGCGAACCGTGCAATTTTTATTTATTTATTTATTTTATTTTATTGTCCATTTCCATAGCCTGGGTGGTAACACAGATGTGCAAACTTTACTTACAGTAAACTTGTCAAGGGGGGCACCCCTATAAGGCGACCACCTGTCCCAGAAGACCACTGGAACCAGAACCGAGGGATGGTATTTCCAGTCAAATGACCCTGGATAAGGAGACCCATCTGGTAACAGACCACGTTTTGAACGTCCCTTGAGCTGTCGTCTTAGACAGATTTAACTGTACTGTGAGGGTTCGATAACTTGTATTGTGAGTCTTTGCCTGGTCTTGTAACATTGCTTGTTTTGTTACATTTTGTGTGTATGTTTTGGCAGATTCTCGTCCTTTCTCTCCTTTTCTCAACCCTGATAAACCTTCCTGAGGCTGTGAGTTCCATATCAAGTTACGGCACGGTGTCTAACTGTTTTGTACTTGTATGTATGTATGACGTGTGTGTGTGTTTGTGTGTGTGTTTGTCACGTGTGTGTGTGTGTCACGTGTGTGTGTGTCACGTGTGTGTGTGTGTCACGCGCGCACGTGTGTGTGTGGTATGTGAGTGTGGGTGCGTGTGCATGGTGTGGCCGTGTGCATGGTGTGGCCGTGTGCATGGTGTGGCCGTGTGCATGGTGTGGCCGTGTGCATGGTGTGGTGTGCGTGTGCATGTGTGTGCATTGTGAAGTGTGTGCATGTGTGAAGTGTGTGCATGTGTGAAGTGTGTGCATGTGTGAAGTGTGTGCATGTGTGAAGTGTGTGTGTGTGTGTGTGTGTGTGTGTGTGTGTGTGTGTGTGTGTGCATGTGTGTGCGTGTGCGTGTGTGTGTGGTATGTGTGTGTGGGTGCATGTGCATGGTGTGCGTGTGTGTGTGTGTGGTGTGCATGTGTGAAGTGTGTGTGTGTGTGTGTGGTGCGTGTGCATGTGTGGTGTGTGTGCATGTGTGGTGTGTGTGCATGTGTGCATGTGTGTGTGTGTGTGTGTGTGTGTGTGTGTGTGTGTGTGTGTGTGTGTGTGTGTGTGTGTGTGTGTGTGTGTGTGTGTGTGTGTGTGCATGTGTGTGGCATGTGTGTGCATGTGTGTGGGCAGTATGGTGTGTGTGTGTGTGGTGTGTGTGTTTGTGTGGTGCATGTGTGTATGTGCGTGTGTGCATGTGCATGTGTGGCGTGTGTGCATGTGTGTTGTGTATATGTGGTGTGTGGTGCATGTGTGTGTGCATGTGTGGGGTGTGGTGGTGTGTGTGTGTATGTGTGAAGTGTGTGTGGGTGTGTGTGTATGCCAAATATTGTTGACTTTGAGATTTCTCTCTCTTCTCTTCTCTTGTCGTTGTCTCCCGCTTCTGGGAGCGGCGTGGCCCGATAGGGTAGCTGTACATAGTAGTAGTAGTAGTAGTGTGTGTATGTGTGTGCGTGTGCATGTGCATGGTGTGCGTGTGCATGTGTGTGTGGTGTGTGCATGTGTGAGTGTGTGTGTGTGTGCGTGTGTGTGCGTGTGGGTGCATGTGTGTGTGCATGTGTGCATGTGTGTGCATGTGTGTGGCATGTGTGTGCATGTGTGTGGGCAGTATGGTGTCTGTGTGTGTGTGTGGTGTGTGTGTTTGTGTGGTGTATGTGTGTATGTGCGTGTGTGCATGTGCATGTGTGGCGTGTGTGCATGTGTGGTGTGTATATGTGGTGTGTGGTGCATGTGCGTGTGCATGTGTGTGTGTGTGCATGTGTGGGGTGTGGTGCGTGGGTGTGTGTGTGGTGCATGTGTGGTGCATGTGTGGTGCATGTGTGGTGCATGTGTGGTGCATGTGTGGTGCATGTGTGGTGCATGTGTGGTGCATGTGTGGTGCATGTGTGGTGCATGTGTGGTGCATGTGTGGTGCATGTGTGTGTGTGCATGTGTGTGTGTGCATGTGTGTGTGTGCATGTGTGTGCATGTGTGGGGTGTGGTGTGTGTGTGTGTGTATGTGGTGTGGTGCATGTGTGGTGCATGTGTGGTGCATGTGTGGTGCATGTGTGGTGCATGTGTGGTGCATGTGTGGTGCATGTGTGGTGCATGTGTGGTGCATGTGTGGTGCATGTGTGTGTGTGTGTGTGTGCAGTGTGCAGTGTGTGGTGTGTGGTGTGTGGTGTGTGTGGGTGTGTTTGGTGTGTGTTTGGTGTGTGTTTGGTGTGTGTGTGTGATGTGTGTGATGTGTGTGGTGTGTGTGGTGTGTGTGGTGTGTGTACTTGATTACGATGCTCAGTACTGACAGCAGCTCTTCTTGTTGTTAGCGCCATGACCAGACACAGACAGCTGCATGGGTGCATTGCAAAGTGCACTGATGAATTTTTGCAATGTTGTGTTTTCATAGAAGAATGGAAGACAATCACCGGATAAGGCCATGCTTGGACGAGTGACAACTCCATGCGGCGAGCCGGTGAGACAGCAATTATTATTGCACCACACTGCACTGTCCTCACCGTCTGTCCTTCTGCTGTTTCGCGGGGCGAGCAACGCGCGGCAACTTCCACGGCCGTCGTCGACAATCAACCATAATAATATAGAAGTTATGCCGCTGCCCGGCTTCCGGCCGCTGGTGTGTAGACGCTGACTAAGCTCGCTGTGCTTGCTTGCTTGCTGCTGCTGCTGTATTGCCGTGTAGGTGCTAACTGATAGAAGCTTGCTGCCGACACCCTGCTCTGCTGTGCACGCTGGGTTAGCAGCAGCTTGTAGTATGCAGCCGGGATCAACGTTAACGCTTGTATTCCGTGAAGCAACCGTTTTAACGTCACTAGCATGATGGCATTCCGTCAGTGGTGGTATTACCTGGTGACGACGACAATTGCATTTCCTTCCTGGGGAAGACTGTTATTTTGATTGATGGGAATGCTGTACAGATTGGTTAAATACGACCTCTTTTCAATGTAGTTTCAGTGAAGTGGAACACCGAGTCAGATCTCCTGCCTGCCTTCTGCAGTGCATGCGCATCACACTCATACACACTCGTATGCACATACTGTGCATGCACGTCACATTCAAATCAAACACACACACACGTACGTGTCACACGATTGTGTTCCGCCGCTTGGAAACCGTATATTTATCGCGCGTAGACTCGTAATAATTTATTTTTCTCGTTGCAGAATCACCATTGTCACTTCGACGTCTGCGGCGTGACAGTGTTTTATTTCACCGCTAACCGACAAAGAGACACTTCGGCCTTATTCGCTGGACGTCTCAACCTTAGATATACTAGATGGTGCTACCAATTTTGCCTAATGAATATATATTATTGCATCCTCACCAGTGAGAACAAGCCTTCCATAACAATAATTATAATTCTGTAAAACTAATGGTGTAAGTATGTGGTCTGCGGGAGTGTGTGTGTGTGTGCTGTGGGGGGGGGGGGGGGAGAGAAGGGGATATTTATAGGATGCTAAGCATTGGAGGGGGGGGGGGGGGAGAGTAGTGGATATTAGAGAGGTTAAGATGCACGTTATTTCCAACGTCGCGTGCAATTTCACGTCAAATTTGGCGTAAAACTCAAAATTTGGACGCGAGCTGCAGGTCACTCGCGTTGTTTTCCGACGCGCGAGGCAAATAACGCGAGCTGAACTTTCGCGTCACGTCAGAAATAACGTGCATCGTCACCTATTTAACTTAGTTTATTTTATTTATAGGATGCTGGGGAGAAGCCGGGGATATTTATAGCGGGATCCTAAGCGACGGTGTGCAAGTCAAGTCGTGATGTTCATGTGGATGCAAACATGTGCCAAACAAGGAATGGAATTCAAAGACTCCGTGTGCATTATAAATGAACTCAGCACAAAGCACAGTGACTAATGGTTTCTGCTGCCAAGAAACGGCTACGGCTGCAGAATATGATACATGATTGTACATGTACATCACTGACGTTAACGTGTCGGGAGCATTCGTTACAATGTAGGCCAGCCAAGTGCGAACAAGGCGACCGACTTCAAAGTCCCCTGTAAGTCGGCCCACGATGCAAAAGGAACAAAATGTTCGGTTCAGAAATTTCGATTTCTTCTTCTAGACCGGTGTGGACGATAATACTAGGTATTATATTTCGCTCCTGCTCTTGTAGCAGTTGAGCACTCTTTTGTGGGGTAGTGCCTTCGCTGTTTGCGCTATGCAGAGCTCACGGACTTGTCAGTTTGAGCACTCTGGCAAGGTACGTTCGGGCCTGATTTAAATCTGGCCTTGGAAAATTTATTTTTCATTGCTGTCAGGTTCGGCCTCATTTCCTCTGTGCTGTGCTGAGGAGTCCGCAAAGGACGAAACAGTTCTGTCCGGAGATCGAGTACTATTTAGGCATCGGCGGATTATGCCGGCATAATTATTGGCATAATTTGGTGGTTGAAAGTTTGGAGCATAATTTGGCATCCTTTCGGAGGGCGGAGCATAACTACATGTACATGTACACGATTGTATTACAATTCTACTATGCACATGTAGGCTACACAATTGGGTACAATGTACCACCTGGTCAGCGCTGGTGGTCTGCATGATAAAGGGTTCACAGGGCATACAGACAGTGTTTTCAGCGAAAAGCAGGGTAAAAATCATGACAATACATTGTTGTATGCTCGAACTCGTCTTCCCTGGCAGACGAGATATCGATGGGTAGTCCGCAAAACTCCGCATACATGTATATGTACATTATGCATGATTTGAAATCATGACATTTGGATTTAGCAGCCATAGTTGGACTAAAAATGAATGCAGGCTATAATCTTTTTGACAACTCCTATTGCAAATATCGATGCCAGTGTATGCACTTGATCTAGTGGATATTACTTTAATAATTGAGGAGGCATACTAGGGTCCGGCGAATTCTGCGGGCAGATAAATTGGCAGAATTCGGTACTTTTTCTGGTAAGTGTCATGCATTTTTGGTATGTGGATAAAAAAATGGAGCAGAATTCGTGGAATTGCCCGCCATAAGGTTTGTGTGGTTCTGCCAATTTCACTGCTTTTCGAGCAGAATCTGCCACCTTTTCGAGCAGAATCCGCCGGTCCCTAATAGGCGATTCAGACTACGGCCAAAATCACGTCTGAACTTGAACTTCCATGGTGATGCAGTCGTGTTTCCATGGTGATGCAGTCATGTTTCAAAATTGTATGCACAATCGCTGATCAAATCTATCGGAGTCGTAGAAACGTGGTCAAATTTGGCCGTAGTCTGAATCGCCTATTATACGGTAGTTGATAGTCGATCATGATTGAAAGAGAGGTGGAGCTGCGGGAGAGATGGGCTGATCATTCGCAGGGTGAGGTTGATATTTTGGACGAGTAAGACGACTACGAATAATTGAGAACGCTTCCAGTAATCCAGTGTATTCTACAACCTGGAAGGGCGCTTCTTGTGAATCAAAATTGATGATAACCCGGTGCTAAATCATGCTTTGAGTAAATTGAGAAGTCCTTGCTTTTGAAGTACTTGCACCAAATGGACATCTGGCAGGTATTTGTTAGAAACCGCCCCCGTGAAAGTTGCTACTAGTCACACATAAAAGTAATCATGACAGATCTACCCTCTTTTTTTGGGAACATTCCTGTATCTCCGCTACGTGTTTTAGTTTTGAAACAGTGTTGTACTGTGGCTATATACATGTACATAAACGGAGTATAACCCCAAAGTTAGCAATCATGCCAAGGGCCAAGTATGAACGAAATCCACAAAAGTCTTCTGGTAGTGGCGGGAAAAGGTTAAATTAAAGACAATGGCACTCTATACATATACATGACTGTACATATAGGTATAGGCGGCGAGACTAGAGAGCCGAGGGCAAATCTATAGCAAAGAGAAAAAGGACCAAGTAAGTTAAGTTGACCAAGTTGGTCAGTGTCGTGCAATGTTATCGCACGAGCTCGAGCTGATTGTCAAGTAACTGGTGGTGTTAGTGGACAGTATAGAGTAACTCGTATTTCCCTGGTCCTTTTCTTTCCTAGAAACATGTACATGACTTTGTATTGTCACTCACCTGGCTGAACGTAACTATGGTAACATAGACGTAGACTGAGCCGGCGGACCAGTCATTGAAGTGAATGGAAGACCGTCCATAGCGTCGCATTTCCTTGCAGATGAGTTCAAGCGAGTGGAATCTCCTTCTCTGGCCATAAATGTCGACAGGCATGGGCTTCTTCCACGTCTAATGCCCATGCGTTGAGCTCGGTCACAGTGAAGTGAGAATCATGATAAGGGTGCCGACACACCGAAACACTAAGTCTCGTCGAGTGTGCTATCGCTGGTGCTCATACAGCTACACGCCGCTCGACGTCGACCTCAGCGAAACATTGGCCAGCTACTACCAGTACTAGACTAGAGTAACTTACTTCGAAGTTGCAACGTCGGCGGTATTAGTCATGACGTAACAGTTAGTTGGTTTTTTCCAACGACGAACACACGCTTCTTGCAGAGGTAGTGTACGCGGTAGAAGACGAGAAGCCAGGTGGTGATCTCCTTACAGTTACCGGACTCTGCTAGCGCCGCACCCAGTATACAATCACTTACACAAGGGAAGAAAGCAGCAGAGCAAGAGAAGAGGCCGGTCCAGCGAGGAGCTCCGCAGAATCAGCCGTGACAGCTCACTCAAATACAACCAATCCTCTACTACCAGCAGGGTAAAGGGATTTGAGTGGGTGAGGGATAGCGGATGAACTGATTCAACGGTTTATCCATTGTATACTTGAAGCAGGATGATGCTTAGAGACTAAAGTAAGAGGCGCCAGCCGGTGACAACTGCCTGGCGCGTAAGCGAAGGTGTAATCCGCTTCATGTGCAAGCGAAGGTGTTTTGTTCATGTGCAAGCGAAGCTATCACACCTTCGCTTGCAATCCAGCAGTCCAGGCTGTTATCACCCTCTGGCGCCTCAGAGTTCATGTTCAGGTGCAAGCGAAGGTGTGATCTTCATGTGCAAGCGAAGGCGTGATCTTCATGCACAAGGCTTGAAGCGAAGGTGTGATGTTCAGGTGCAAGCAAAGGTGTGATGTTCATGCACAAGCGAAGGTGTGATGTCCAGGTGCTAGGCCCAGACAGAGCCTGCCGTTCGGCAAAATATCGAAGAATTGAAAGAGCGGAAATTGCCGGCAAAATCGGAGCGAAATATCGAGATATTGGGTAAAATCGATGCCTGATACTTGGATTTACTTGTTTACCCGTTCAGCATGATACACTGCCCAGGACTACTACTAGTAGTACTAGTAGAATGATCATGCCACCGAAATATCACTGGGATTCACTGTGCATGTGGATCGACATGATTTTGGAAGTGGATAAAATACACGTGTCTTTGTGGTCCACTGTCACAACAATAACACCCACAGAAGTCTCTGCTGTGAGCACGGTGGCTCGGCAATGGCTTTATGTATTGATATCATTATATCTCCTTCCTGATACTGTACATTTTTCCTTGAATAATTGTATGCATAGGGCCTCATAAGAAAAAATAAGCACAAGGCACTGCTGCTACTGTAGTCGCACAGCAAAACACACAGAAAACGACAAAATGTTACAATGAATGTAACAACACCCGTCCAAGCTAACGCCAGGACCTACACATCCCTGCCCCAGGACGGCATCTCGAAACCCCACACACTCACCACACGGTCATCACCCAGCTTCAGTTCAATCACTGTATTCTTCCCCTGCAGACTCAACCCCCCTGTCACTAGCCATACAATCTGAAGCTGTATGTAACCATACAATGGCCCACCACGCACGCACCACCCCTCGTTTTTTTAACTAAAAAAGAAAAGCAGTCGTAACTGCCGCAACCACATGGCCAATAAGAAGACCAATAAGATAATTATTTCGATAAACACACACCCAGAAGTCAGGGGTGAGGGTGGGATACAAACTGCACCAACGAAAAGCCACTGCGAAGTGACAGGAATGCGGTCCAGCACAACATTTTTGCTGGAGCAAAAAGTTGCTGGGAAATCCCAAAATTTTGCAGGAGCCCAAATGTTCAAGTTACCCACAAAGACACAAGCTTTCCAACTCTCTTTGGCCGTTGGAAAGCGTACCTTTTTTGGAGCAAAATGGAGCAAAATATCGAGCTTCTTGTGCCAAGCTCGGCAACATATCGAAGATTTCGCAGCAACATTTTGCGGCAAAATATCGAGGCGATCGGAGCACAATCTGTGTGGGCCTACCAGGTGCAAGCGAAGGTGTGGTGTTCAGATGTACGTAAAGGTGTGATTTTCTTGTGCGAGCAAAGGTGTGAACCCAAAGAAGACTACTTTTGGCTTCACACTACACAAAGGGCGCGTTCGAAGTGTCGCTCTTTGACTTAAAAGTCTTTCCGAGGAGTTTGGCTTTTCTGAAGAG